TGCGGGGTGCGGGTCGTGCGCGGCGCCGTGCAGGACAGGACAGGGAGAGCTGAAAACTCGGGACTTCAGCCGTGGCAACAACAGGTAGGTTTAGGGAAATGCTGGCTTGTGGCTGCTTTTCTTTCCGCTGAGCCGTGTTTTGGAGCCGTAACTGGTTGACCTGACTGCTCTGCGTGGTTAAACGACGCAGTTGCTCMGTTCTTCACTTTCCTGTGTTGGCTGAAGAAGTTTGAAAGCTGTGTCCTGATTGTTTTCTAATAAGGAATATTTACCCGTGACAAGAAATATGTGTTTCAGAGAGTACATGGTATGCTGTGCGGAAGGGCAGAATAGTGCTCGCTAAACACAGCTGTGTGTTCTTATAGTAATAGACAAAAAACTCCAGCAAAAAGAACAACATAGAAAACAAAGTTATACCCTATTTATGCTTGCATGGTACTTTATTAGAAACAAAAYGAGTGAATATATATTTTAGTACTAGAGTGAGACTTTAAGTGAGTGAAAGAACTCGAAAAGCTTAGTTAAAATCTAACAATTACAACCACTCTTGTTTCATTCAATGCAAAAATAACAATTGATATTTTTTTCATAGTGAAGACAAGAAACCTGACTTAAATGTAAAGAAAGAGAGCAGATCTATTCTGCCTTTATTCCTTCAAGCTGTGGTTCAGAGGTCAGCGTTTAGTTTTTGCAGGAAGGAAGAGAACAGGAGGAAGAGAAGAGGAGCAACACAGGGCCGGCTMCAGCAGCTGTGTGTGTTCAATGTGTAACTCCAGCAGGAGAGTAATGCCACATGTAGCATTTGTAACAGCTAAGTACAAGTGCTGTAACATCTAAGTACAATATGGTCAGTATTTTATGTGAGGAAATCACTTAAAGTCATTATTCCACCAGCTGASTTTAATGCAGGTGAAGTTTGGAACAGGAAAGCTCATCCATGGGTATTGTTTTTTATTTTTAATGTTAGATTTTGGGTTTAAATGCTTGACTGAATAAGGAAGATTTATTAGCTGTGTTTTGTCTTGCATTGTCAGTGTCTTGCAGTTGAAGTTTCTGTCTGTTTCTTTCCTACAGTGTAATCCTGGTCAGAGGTGTGACATGATTTTACCTTGTGTGACCAGGGGTTTGGTACCTTAATCTGTTTTTAGACCTCTTCCTTCTAGGTGAGGTAGTCAACTGGAGACAAACGTTTCTCCTTTCATCCTCCTCCCTTCCCTTGGTCTTCTAGAACAGTCTGTCAGTGTTTTTACTCTTTTTGTGTTTTCCATCTCTAGATTTCTTTGAGGCTTCTGATTCTCCCTGGRGAAACTTCTGCCTTTCATTGATCCTTTATTTGGGTGAAACAGTTACCTTTCCTTTTCTTACTGCTTTATCTTTTAAAGAAGTTACAAATCCAATTAATAGGATTTTGTAATTTCCTTTTGCTCCACCTATGATGGAAACGTTCCACGTTGTTGCAACTGTGAAACCTCTGACACCTAGTAAATGCTTTCAGAGTTTTATAACATCAGATTAAAATAAATGCAAAATATGAAGAGTAGAATAGAAACCTCCAGAAATCTGTGAAAGAAACACTTTAATACTACTATCACAACCAACAAAAAATTGTTTGTGTCAGTGCACTGTTGCCAGATCACAAAGTACTGTAAGTGAAACTAGCCACAGATGTAAAACCTTCAAATTGTTTTTGTTTGTAAAAAGCTATGGCAGCAGACTGTAGATTAAGAATGCATTCTCTTTTCTGATGACAAAGGTCAGAATTTTTTAGCTTAGAAAAAAGGGCATTAAGACCTTTCAGAAGTTATTGGTTTGATTCACTTCTTAGCTCTTTCTGTTCTGGCCACGTGYTTTGCTGTTCATCTGTGCAGTTCTGGTAACCACACACGTCACCTTTCATGTCCCGGAAGTTGCATATTGATTAGTTTGTTCTTTCTGACCTACGTGGCTTACACTAAGCTCAGAGAAGAGAGCTGGGTACTTCTGGAAGCAGTCCCCTGTTCAGCTTATAAGCATTTGCTATATAGGTATTTGGTTTGAATTCTACCAGAACTACAGATGTAATTTTTCAGCTGGTAGTGCCTGTTGTACTGCATTCCCAAAGTGGCATGGTACCTAGTGCCAGTAGTAACTGTTGCTCCATTTTCATGTCCATGTTTTTTTCAAAGCAAGGYGCCATCTCTTTGCATGGTCTCAGGGTAGCTTGCGTCAGACTCAGTCTGACTCTCTTAGGCTTCTCAGTGTAGACCAGTGTAGTCAAGATTTGTCCTTACAGAGCTTGTTTGCTAGTTTGAGGGTTCAGTACACCAACAGAAATGTATTGCAGAAATAGGTTTTGGGCAAAATCTCCCCAAGATAGGTGAATATCCATTGTCAGATGGCTTTCTGTGGTTGCTAGCTAAATATTTGAATGCTTTTCACTGCTGTACTAAACAGAACCTGTGATCAGGCTTGGGACACTTTGTTGTCTTTTCTGGTGTTTGTGTTGCAAAAGCTGACATCAGTAGTCAGTTTCACTGTGAGTGTTTGCCACACCTATCCATGCTAGGGCGGCATCAAGGCAACTGTAACAGAACTTTGGCTGAAGTGATTTAGGTGCTTTGTCATCTTTGGTGAGGCGTTTAAATCTTAATAGCAGAAGATCTGTATGTTGCCATAGAATTGAAGCTGCTGTTAATTTGGGGAAGAATAGGTACCTATAATACATGGAGATCAAGGCTTACTGATCCTCTCCTCTGTAATTCCTTCAGGWATCTTCATGGATCCTGCCTGTTTGTCAGGTGTATAGTATTTTGGTGATGGCCAAACAACAAGCTCTGTCTCAGGGCRCGTCAGAATATGATGAGCCCTGGTGTCCTGTCTCTGGCTAGGAACCATATTACAGCATTGTGCAGAGATGAGCTCGAGGTGCAGGGGCAACCTTAGGTGCATTTTAGGTTATTATTGTACCAGCTGTCAGTACAGATCATTGTGTGTGTATCCTCTTCTAGTGGAATACAGTGAAAAAATGGTTGAGTGTATTGTTTTTATTTGCAATAATACAATATTCTCRGAGAAATCTTGTGTGACTGCAGAGTGGAGGAAGGTTCAAAGTGGCATTTAGTCCTATGACATCTCCTGTGCAGCAAGCATCATGTACAAGTGATGTGTGGGCTGAACTGGTAACTTCTAAGTTAAAGCTGCATTCAAATCAAGTGTAAGATGATGTCCATGAGCAGCTTATCATGAAGAACTTGTGTTATTGTTGTATACAGATTAATTCCACATACTGAGAAAGCCACACTAATCTATTCTGGATTTTTGACTCATATAGAAGAATCAAAATAGTTAGCTTATTTTCTCAATTACCTTTACTTTGATTCATAACAGATCCATAAAAGCTGTTCATCTGCAGAAGGTTGTGGAGAATTTATTTTGATTCTAGAGTCTTGCTTAAGCATGCATGGCACACATTAGAAGTCCAAATTAAAAAAAAAAAAAAAAGTGGAGGATTTGTTCGTAATAGTATCTTGCAACAGAAATATATGCTCTTTGTGTAGTCTTAAGATGAAAGTTAATTTTTTAGTGAATTTTATGGCTGAGCAAGGGAAAACAGCTTCATGTTGAATCATCCTCTGTCACTACCCAACAGGTAATGCTTTGAACTTGAGCTTTTTCTTCTAACTACTTTTTCACATGGCTTGGTTTAGCTTTTGTGGGACAGTATCTTTGCACTGTGTGAAAGGTTGTTTCTTTCACAACCAAAAATACAATTTTGAAAGTCAAGCCTGCTGTGATTCTGGTAGGTAAATGGATCAGTGCCAAGGGATTGCTTCATTTTATCTTTATTCTTTTCTTTAAACTTTATTAAAAGGCAAAGCAGAAACACACAGCAACTTCCATGTGTACAATTTTCTTTTTCCTAAACAGATATTCTTCGAATAACATCTCTCTTTGCCCTCTCTGTGTTTTTTTCCTCACTTCATCTGACCACTGCTGTTYTAAGCTTGCTCTCTTCTCATGTGTATTAACAGCCTTTATGGACTCACTGACTGCACTGCATCAGTGGTGAGGTGGTTAAATATGGTTCCTCCATAAGTAGCTGTCTTGTTTTTATTKTTTTGGTTCCAGTGTCCTTCCAGAAAATCATTAAGTGTCCTGGCAGTTGGTACTGCTAAAGCTTCTTACTGGATTCATGCTTTCAAGGCATCTACACAATTCATCAGATACTCCAGCATAAATAGCACAAGTGGTGGTTGTTCCTGTATGGAGTGTTATTTCATCTGAGTTTGCCAATAATTTGACAGTGGTACCACTTGGCCAAAATATGAATCACAGTAGGGTAGAGCAGTAGTGGCAGGAAATTTGGAACCAAATATGTGGCAGAAACATCAGAATTCTCTGATCTGTGTGTTGAACAAAGGCACCCTGTGAACTTTACTCTAGGGTTCTGCTGTAGTTGCCCTTCCCCTACTGAAAGGAAGCTTGCCCTTCAGTCAGCCTGAGTCTCCACTGTGATGGAGCTGCAACCTGTCAGCTCATGTTTGGTTGATACCATGCCCCATGGATACACTTTTCCACCTTTTCCACCTAAAGCTTTGCTGTATACCTTGCCAAAGTGAAGTAGGTGAAATCGATGGCTCACATGCACTATAAATACACRTTTTGATGCTGCATGTTCTTAGTAACTGGTGTGTTTTCATGAGCTCATTTGAGAGCTTTCTGACCTTTGTTATATAACAAGGAACAGGAC